TCTCTCTCTCTCTCTCTCTCTCTCTCTCTCTCTCTCTCTCTCTCTCCTCTTTGTTTCCATCTCTGTGTCCATGTCTCTGTCTCTTCTTTCTGTCTCTCTCCCTCCTTCTCTCCCTCCCTCTCTCCCTTTCTCTTTCTCCCTTTCTGAGGTAATTCTGGGAAGGGATAGAAGAAGCTGGTTTTCTCTTCTGTTCTGTGTCCTTCATTCAGAGGTTGCTAAAGTTATTAGAACTGGCTGGGAAAGAACAAGGGGGACCAGAGAGCAGTATACTTCCCCAAAGCTAATTGCTTTGGAAGAAGTGCACCAAGCCTCTTTCCATCACCTAAATCTGTATACTTATGACTCAGACATCACCTAGGGTTAATGGCTCATATTTACATGGCTTAGTCTTTCTCTGCTATTGAGAGCAGTTATATTCATTATATTCCTGTATTAAATTTGTTTAGCCTTTCACTAATAGCTGTGGACTTTGTATTTGTTTCAGTGTTCCTATAAATATTTTGAGGTATATAGGACCTTTCTGCCTTTGACTTCCTTGGCATCTCTCTCTCTCTCTCTCTCTCTCTCACACACACACACACACACACACACACACACACACACACACACACACACCCATATATATAGGAGCTCTGGGTGAAAGAATACAGACATTTTAGTTACTGCCTTAGCGTAATTCCAAATTACTTCCAAAGTGGTTGGAACAATTCATAGCTCTACCAACAGTGTATGAGTATGCTTGACTTTTCACAGCCTCTCCAAGATTAAGAATCTTTGTCATCTTCTCTAAGTGGACGTGTATAAGATAAAACCTCAGAAACAGAGCTTCTATTAAATTCTTCATATGTGCCAAGTGCTGGCCCAAGTAGAAGCAAGCAAGACAATTTCCAGCCCTCAAGAGGCTTACATTCTGATGGAGTAAGGCATCACATAAAGGGGAGATAGAAAACAAGGGTGGTATGAGAGATAATTGTGTATTAATATGATATAGAGTGAGCCAGATGACGGTGTGGAGACCTGAGCCCCAGAAAGGTAAGACAAAAGCTCGATTATTAGAGTCAGAGGACCTGGGGACAAAGTCTAAGTTACTGGTGGGGAGAAGGTTGAAATCATGGTCTGCATAGAGGAGTCATGGGAAGAGTTGTTTTAATTTGCATTTCTCTTACATTAGTGATTCAGAGCATTTTTATATGATTGTTAGCACTTTGCAAGTCTTCAATTAAGAAATATTTGTTAATACCTTTTGGCAGTCACTTATCCATTGGGGAATGGTTTTCTGTGCTTTATATTTGTGTTAGCTCCCTATTTGTCTTGGATATGAGACAGAGATATTTTGTCAGAGATATTTTGTGCAATTCTTTCCATTTGAATGCTTGCTTGCCTTCTTATCCTGAGTTGTGTTTGTTTTTCTTTTGTGCAAACACTTTTTTATCTCATTTAATTGAAATAATCTATTTTATCTTTTGTGGTTTCCTCTATAGCTTATTAAGTCTCCTGTAACTGTATTTATGACATGATATCCAATTATGTTCCTTCTAATTTTTTATGAGATGAATATTATCTTTAATATTCAGGAAGAATTTCCATCTTGACCTCATCGTAGCACATGGTGTAAGAGGCAGCTCTAACTCTGATTTCTGCCAAACACCTTTCTGGTCTTCTCAAAGTTATTCCTAAGCATGTGCCAGAAATGTTTAACAACCACCTCTCCAAAAACACTTAATACACTTTAAAGTTTAATCTTCATTAGTAATTCCCCTACTCAACCAACTCCTTGAGGGTAGGGACTGTTTTTTGCCTTTCTTTGTATTCCCCATATTTAATACAATGCCTGATGCATAGTAGGCATTTAACAAATGCTTGTTGACTGGCTGATTGTTATCCCAGGGCTTGGCATAGTGCCTGGCACACAGTTGGCACTTGGAGAGTTGTTAACTTGACTTACAAAGTACTTTGAAATTTGAAAAGTCCTTCACATGGATTATATTCTTTGATGAGTAAACTAAGGGTGAGGATGGGTAAGAGACCTGCCAGGAGTCACAGAGCTCAGAATTAGTGTCTGTGGTAGGATATAATAACAACAGTCTCGTGGGTATACTGTTTAATGATTTACAGCAGGTTAAGATCCCCATTTTACAGATTTGGAACAGTGAGGTTTTCACAGACCTTTATTATGCCTCACAAATCCCTTTGCAGATTCAATCTCATTTGAGCCACACAACCAGCCTGTGATGTAGGTACTCCAGGTGTTACTAGCCCAATTTAATAGATGGAGGAACTGAGGCTCAGACAGGTGAAGTGACTTGGGAATAGAATGAAAATTGTGCTGGATTGGAGTCAGAAGTTCTGGGTTCAAATAGAGCAAATCACGTAATCTCTCTCAGTTTCCTCGTCTGTTAAACGAGGGAATTGGCCCAGGCGGCCTCCAAGCCCCTTCCAGCTCTTAAGCCTGTGATCTTATGATGCCCAAGGTAAGTTGTAAAGCGGTAAGTGTCAGAGTTAGGATTTGAACTCAGGTCTTCTTGACTCCAAATTCTGTGACACCCCATTATAATCACACTAAATGACTTATCCAAAGTCAATTAGCTAGTATGAAACAGAGTTGGGACCTGAACCACATCCAGTCTCCAAGACTGGTGCCCTTCCCACGATACTACAACATGGCGGAAAAGCCCATGGCACCTTACTGGGGGGAGGCTACATGAAGCCATCATAGCCTTCCCCTCAAGTGAAGGGGGATATCAGGTTGGGGTGGAGCTGCAGGAAATGCTAAGCCCCTTTAATGTCCCCAAACTTCAACCAGATCAGGGAGATCACATTTTCATTGTAATAACCTGCCAATCAATCCTCAAGCACTCGTCAAACTCTTGCTCCGTGCTGGACGTTGTGTTGGGTGCTGAGTAGGGTGCAAAGGAGGAGAACAAAATGATCCCTGTTCTTGAGGAGTTGTTGAAATGTGGAACCCAACAGTCCCTGAAGAATTCCAAATGAAGGCCACCCAGGGCCAGCAGAGCCGCACATGCTGAGTGTGAACAAGATATGGCGAATAAAGAAGAATCTACAGGGAGTTGTGGTAAAGGGCATCGTGGAGAAGTGGATGGTCAAAAAAAGATGGGCTTGTCATGGGGAGAGTGAGGGATGAGAGAGGGATGGCTGCCAGCTCTCTGGCATGGATGAGGACATGGATGAAGATGGCCTGGGATGGCCCGGCACCGGCAGATGGGAATCTGCATCACTGCTGGGCACTCCTGAATTGATAAGGTCACAAATCAGTTGGTGTATCTGATTATTGAAGTTAAACACATCTCTGCCTGGGCTTCTCAGGCTTGAGGCTGGCGGAGAAGTTGCCAAGCATGAGTTAAGAAAGCAGAGGCAAGAGAATTATCCACAACACCCACCAGTCCTATAACTACTGGCAGTGGGCTCTACTTTTCCTTCTGCTTACATCTCCTGGGGACATCCAGGAATCCAACAATTCTCCTATCTTCCAGCCTGGGACTCTTTCCCCTACAACACTTGATCTCTTTTATTTAATGCCTGACTCTAAGCTTCTCTCTACTCTGGCATTCTCTGTTCTGTGTTTCAAGGTCTTCTTAGTCCTAACATTCCCTGACTCCCTGTCTTGGATGCCCCCGGGAGCTCCTAGTCAGACTGGGGGCAATGAAACTCACATTCAAGGAACAACAATCAATATATAGTAGTTTAAAAGCCCTATAGACCCCAAACTTTGGGAGAAATTGAAATATGGAGGCATCAGGCAGGAAAGGCTAAGTGGAGGAGGCAGCATGGAATAGTCCCCTAACCCCAAAGGAATGTAAATAATAGTAATTATTATTGTGTTATTAATAACAATAGCTAGCATTTACATAGTGCTTTAAGGTTTACAAAGCACTTTATGGTAGCTTATTTGATCCTCACAACAACCTTGTGAAGTAGGAGCTATTATCGTCATTTTACAAATTTGAAAACTGAGGCACAGAGAAATTAAGTGACTTGCCCAGGGTCACACAACTAGTATCTGAGGCAGAATCTGAACTCTGCACTCTATCCACTGTGCTACCTATCTTGCCTTGAGGACAGGTAGTTTTTTGTTGTTGTTTTTTTGCCTTTATGTGTCCAGCACAATGCCTGGTACAAGATCTGGATTATCCAGTCCTGAGGCTTTCACTTACCGGTTGTATGACCTTAGGTAATTCTGTTCTTCTCTCTGGACCTCAGTTTCCCCACCTGTAAGATGAAGGCATTGGGCTAGATGACATCTAAGCTTCCTCTGATCCCAAAGATAGGAAGAAATCTATATAAGAAACTTTTAAAAGTTTAAAATTCAAAAGCTTATGGAAGTGATTGTTGATAATTCAAAATAAATTAATAAAAAAAAATTTTTAAAAAGAAACTTTCACTAGCCTCTAGCTGAGGTCAACCCTTTGACCAAGTCAGCTGGGCATGCAGCCTATGCTCCTGGGTATCTAAGAACTTCCCATTTCCAACTCCAAAGGCTAGCCTGGTTTAATACTTAATAAACATTTCTTTTGGGAAACATTCACTCTCTTTAAGGAATCACAACCCTGCTAACCCTTCATTGTACTCTGTAGAGGACTACTGCATGCTTGCAATTCCTCACATACAACATTCCCATCTCCTGCCTCTGTCTTTGCGCTGGCTGTCCCCCTTCTTGGAGGCTCTCCCTCCTCACTCGTGCCTCTTGGAATCTCAGGTGCTCCAACCTTTCCTGACCCCTGAACTGTTAATGCTCCTACTTAGTGAGCTGTTCACATCCTAAAGACCCCTGGTATAATGTAAGCTCCTAAATAGACTGCATACGATGTAATCTCAAAAATCAATTGATCATTAAATATTTATTAAGTACCATATGTTTACTGTGTGTTGGGCAGTATGCTAAATGCTGGGGATACAAAGGCAAAGCTAAACAGACCCTGCCCTCAGGGAGCTTCCATTCTTAAGGGGGAGACAAGATATAAAGTACATACAAGATACATGCAGAGTTAATAAGACAAAACTGGAGGAGACAGTCATAGCATGTTGGGGCCTTGGCAAAGGCCTCTTGGAAGAGGTGGGGCTTGAGCTGAATCTTGAAGGAACCAGGAAATAATAATCTACAAAGAATGAGATCCTCTCATCTCAACAGATGTAGCAATGCTTTGGCCAGCTCACTTATCCTTAGCTAATACTTTCAATAACAATACCTAGATACTGTTATTGGTGCATGTCAAGATGTGGGTTCGAATCTCTGCAGCTCACTGTGATAACTCGCCTGTACAAGCCATGTCACCTCCCTTGGAGTCAGTTTCCCCCTTTGTAAAATGAGGGGGTTAATTAGATGTTCTTTAATGTTCCATCTGGTTTGGACATTTAAGACCTTTTCGTGAGTGGTCCTGCCCCCTGCTAGAGTTCAGCTGAAGTAAATGGTTGAAGAGGAATGGGGTGAGAAGTAGAAGCCATAGACCACCAGCAATAGGCCTTGGTCTTGGAAGGCCCCAGGCCTCTATGCACCCCACCCATTCACCATCTTGAACTCAACCTTGACTTATCCACTGAATTCTTGCCTGGGCTCTCAACTCAGTTATGTCTCTCCCCTCATACATACTTCCTCACCTTCTAGAGTGTGGATTTCCCAAAGGAAGGGGCTTCTTATGAGCTAGCAGGGCAAGGGTATACCTCTGGGGGTATTGGGGAAGCCCACTCCCCTCTCATATAGACATCTCTCTGCCTGAGATAGTCCTTGGTTGTTTGTCCTGAACCCCTTATAGCAAATCCTGAGGCCTTTTCTGTCTTCAGGAGGCCCAAGGACTTAACCTAAGGAAAAGTTTCCCATCACTTGGCCAACCATGGAATGAGTTGCCTCAACTGTCACTGGAGGTTTTCAAGCAGCTGCTACATGACCCTTGGCTGGGTGGTTATAGAGGATTCTTGCTTTGAGAGGATGGATCAGATGCTCTCTGGGGATCTACCCATCTCTGAGAGTCTAGGAATCTATCATTCAATGATCCTAAGAAAATTCCAATGGGGTGGGTGAAGTAGTTCTGTAAGTTAATTAGATAAACAGCTTTTCCAAGATGAGAGGCATTGTGGGGTGGTAGGAATGGGAAAAACCATTTATGAAGCTCCTACTATGTGCAGAGCCCTAAGCTCCCACTGGGTAGACAAAGACAATTGCAAATCCAGCCCCAGACACTAGCTGAGGGGCCTCCTGGACACTCAGGAGATGATGGGGAAGTACCTGCTAAAGGACAGAGGCGTATTCCCTAACCAGGCCCGTGACCACTGTCTCAGGTCAGAATGAGGGGCAGTTTGGAAGAGTAGAAATGCCACCAGGTGAACGGGTCTAGTCAGACCTTCTCACTGATTCACCATCATCCTCGGGAAGTCACTTTTCCTCTCTGGGATTCAGCTTCCTCATCTGTGAAATGTGGATGGTAATCCTGTTACCCTACCTCACAAGTCCACTGTGAGAAAAAGCACTCTGTAGACCGTAGAGGGCTATAGAAATGAGGAAACCAAGTCTCGGAGAGGCGACTTTGCCCCGGGTCATACTGCCAGTGGGGATCAGAGCCAGGAGCACATGGATAAAGCTTCGAGCTCCAAGTCTACTGTTGTGTCCACTGAGCTGTTCCAGCAGGCTGAGATGAGGACGGGTAGGAGGGAGATTGGCCAAGATGGTCTCAAGTCCCGTCCAGTACCGACTGACCTTCTGTGTTCTATGATGGCCACGGCTCATGTTCAGGGGCTTCTTTCATGAAATCCAACGCTGGCCCTTCAGGCGGTTTGATATGACTTGGTTTATCCCTCTCAGACTGATGTGCACGCACACCAGCCACTTAGGCAAAGTAGCCCCAGAGGAAGATATTGATGGTGAGTAGGAAAATGGCGTTGATGTTACAAACTCGCCTCCATAGCGGGGTCTCCTCAATGCTTGTCAGTTTTCTTTCCATTGCAGCCTTCTCTGCAGGACTCAGGATAGGTGTGGGGGTTGGAGAAAGCCCACAGAACCAGAAATAAAACTTCTGCCAACAGGACTGGGTGGGGGCTGGGGAAGAGAGAAGAAGAGAGATTAAGTAAAGCTGGACAAGTCAGCTGCACCTTGTCTCCTGGCCCCAGGCTCAGCCCTGACCATTGGAATCATGTACACCGCCCTAGAACACATTCCACAGTTCTTATACGTTACTCCCCTCCACACACCCCGAGACACAAACATATTGCTCTACTAGATGTCCTGAATCCATGATGCTCTGTCTCCCTTCTCGGTGCCTTTATACTCACTGACCCCCATGTCTGGAATGGTCTCCCTCTTAGAATACCTGGTTTCCTTTGAGACCCAGCTCAAGCAGCACCTTCTACATGAAGCCTTGGTTTTGTATAAGGGTCAGCCTAGATGGCTACTGAGGTCCCTGCCAATTCTCAGACTCTGTGATTCTTTCATTTGGTATCTACCCCCCCATCACAACTACTAGTACCCACCACAATGACCTTATCTTCATTCTGTGTGTTAGTTATATGCATATCTGTATATCCCTGTCCATATCTATCTCTCCATCTATCTATCTAATCTATCCATCCATCATCTATCTAATCTATCTC